AAATTTAATGATTTTTTTTTATTTTAATTCTGCAAGTATGTAGAATTAAAATAAAAAAATTTTATCAAATTTGAATAGACAAATGTTAGAAAATATTGATTATACAGTTTTTATAAATTCTGGAACAACTAATAAAAATTATTTCAGCCAAATTTAATAAGTTTTTGAATTCAGTATTGTTGAATTAATTTTGGCAGATTTAAAACCTTATTGAACTTATCGAATTCGGCTGAACAATTTTTATTAGTTGTCTCAGAATTTATAAAAATTGCTATAATTCTATGATATTATAGAATTAAAATAAAAAAATTGATCGAATTTGATTAGATAAATGCCAAGTTATCTTTGTTCAAATTTTAGATATTCATAATAAAAAAAGCTGTAGTCAATTTTTTTTAGCCTTTACAGTTGTTTTCATAAATTCTGGGACAACTAATAAAAATTGATTAGCCAAATTGATAAGTTTAATAAGTTTTTAAATTTGCTAAAATCAAATTTGGCTAAAATAATTTTTATCAGTTGTCCCAGAATTTATAAAAATAGCTGTAAATTAAAAAAAAATTAATCAAATATAATCAGGTAAAAACCAAGTTATCTTTGTTCAAATTTTAGATATCCATAATAAAAAAAGCTGGGGTCAATTTTTTTTTAACCTTTAATCAATATTTCTTTATTCAAATTCAGTAAAATTATTTTTATTTTAATTTTACTTTTTTGCAGAATCAAATAAAACAATGAATTTTTTTTCTAATTCTACAACTATGTAGGATTAAAATAAAATAAAAAAAATACTGAAATTAAATAAACAGGTGTTGAGAAATATCAATTAAAAGCCAAAAAAAAAAAATTTTACTTACAGTTTTTTTTACAGATATCTAAAATTTGAATGAAGGTTGCTCTACACTAACAGATTATATTTGGTCAAAATTTTTTTATTTTAATTCTATAATCACATAGAATTAAAATAAAAAAATTTTGATCAAATTTGATTAGGTAACTGCTAAGTTATCTTTGTTCAAATTTTAGATACCTGTAAAAAAAAGTTGTATCCAATTTCTTTTTTAACTTTTAATCAACATCAGTATATTCAAATTTGATAAATTTTTTTATTTTAATCCTACATACTTGTAGAATCAAAATAAAATAAGGTAGCTGTGCAATGCTCTTACATGAAACTAGGAATGTAAATTTATGATTTACTATAACTCAATTAGATTATATAGGTATGCTGCAAAATATCTAAAATATTCAATCTTGCTACTCTTGTATTTTAATTTTACAAATTAATATTTACTATTGTCAAAGCAAAAATTACCAAATTTTAGAAGTGCTACTGTGTCAAAATCGACATCACGAGGCCTAAAACTGGGATGAAGACCTAAACCAAAGCTCTCAGGAAATAGTAGCTGTTTTATAGCTAAAATGTGACAAAATTGTAGCAAAAAAGTCACAAAGAAGAATTAAATTAATTCAGGCTTGGGGCAGTGCTAAAAGCTTAACTGGAGAAGGCAAAGCTCTGCTGGCATAGCATGGAGTGGCATATTGGGCTTGGATTTAGATTAGAAAAAGTTCTTTTCCTTTTCTTTAGTTCCTCCTACATGTAAATTTTTATAAAAATAGGCTCTTTTTGCCTTCTAACAAAAAACACGAAGAGAGTATTTGAATAAATAAAAAATTAATTATTTAAAACTCACAATTAAAGTAGCTGTTCTACTGTAGAGGCCTCCCATAAACATTCTAATTATATAAGTAGCAAGTATTTCCTTATCTGAATTAACTCTTTTTAAGTGACTTTTAAATTTGTAAATATATTGATTTACCTTTTCATTTTTGTTTGAGTAAGTGAAGTCAATTCCAATTGCCATCTATGTTTTTGTTTGGTGGTTGCAAAATATTTGGTAAATACTGGGACAAAGCTAACTTCTGGGTCATATTCTTCTTTTTAGAACAATAGATTGTTCTTATTATTATTATACTAGTGTTTGTAGTCGATTTTATATTAGTTGATAAAATCGGCTTAGCTGACTTAGCCAATTTTTTGAAAAATCAGCTTAGCCAACTACAATAGATTATATATATTTATATATATATTATATTAAAATTTAGCCCAGTTTAATACTAGAAGCGAAAATTTTTTTTAAAAAAATTAGTAAACATAAAATACGAGCAAGGTCGAGACAAAAAATTTGAGAAATCTCTGATAACTTCTGAAGTTTAATCAAATAGAATTTTAAACAATCAACTCTGACTAAGCTAGCTAAGCCGATTTTTAAATATCAACTTAGTTAAGTTAATAAATAATAGTCAACTACAAACACTATGTTATACCAACTAGCTATGATCCCAGCCAGGTGCCTCAAGGCTATTTTAATTTTTCTTATCCGGAACTAATTATTCACATTTTTGAAAGTTTCGATCTATTTAACTAGATCTTCATTTTCTTCACCCTTGAAAGTTTTCATATATATCTAATTATTTTCTCATGGATTAGGCAGAATGTTATGAATGGTAGCTTCCCTAAATGCTTGAGCTATCTCTCTAAGAATAGCATGAGTGGGGTTCATATTTTGGTTTTGATAAGCTGGTAGATAATCAAGCTCTCCACCAATCATTCTAGTGTATTTGAGATGATCAAAATTTGATATCTTTCAGATAGTAAGTAAATTTTTTGGTAAAATATGGTGGGTGAGTTTTGAAGTAAGTATCTCATAGTCACTACCAACTAAGATGGGTAAAATTAATTCTAATTTTTAAAAGTCAGGAAATATGGGTCTTAAGCTAGACTAACTAATCTAAACATACATTAAACTAACTAATCTAACAAACTATACTAATTCAAATAATCGATAAGGTTGTACTACAAGATGGTAGGCTTTGAAAAGTGGTGTGGATAACTTGGTCCGAGTTCTTGGAGCTTAGACCTTATGTTGATATATTTAAAGAGTATAGAGTCTTCTTTTAGCTATAGACTATATCTTATCTTAGTGTATTTTGAATATTCCAATACTAATAATCTTAATTCTCCAATTCTTCTATTTTGGAGGTATTACGTACTAATTTCGGTTACATGTTACATAATTATAATTATGTCATCAATCAGTAGTTTAATATTCAATTTAGATTAGTAATAATATTGATAATGATATCACAGATAGGATTATTGATGTAGATCAGAACTTCAATTAATTAATGTTATAGGTTTCATACATTATAAGAATTTGAATGATCAAAGTAATTAATATGTAATAATGATGAGGTCATGGGTTAGCCTTTAATTGTTAGATGATTTTCAGTAACAATGGGTTTTGAACTAATTCGGGTATTTTCTCTATATAAGGGTGAATAATGGATATTATTTCTTTACTAATTCTTTCTATGCGCTACTGTTTAGTATAATTCAAGTTTTTTACTAGTATCGGGGCTTATGCTGTATGTATGATACTAGATTTATCTTAGGGATGTGGAATTCAAAACTGACGGACGAAAGGTAACAATTTTCACTAAGTCAATACTTCAACTACAATTATTTTGAAGGTATCAATAACTCAAACTCTAATAAGTTGTCTTTTTCCTTTTCTTTTCTCACAAAGCGAACTGAGTTTATTTCAAATGTGAAAATTTGCTTTAAATAATTTTTTACATTACTGCGTTTTGGATGGTCTGACACATTTTTTTCTATACTACAATGACATAATTTGGTACCAAAGGCAAGGTATGATACTGGGAAGTACCAATTTTACAGTCAAGAACGTAATGTACTAATAATATAGTACAGAATGAGCTAACAGTACCAAAGTGCCGTAATGGCCTAATTAAGAAGGACACTTTGATCTTTGGATCAAATTTGGGATGACATAGGTCCTTCCAAATAGCAAAGAAACCCGGGTAAAATAAAATAATAATAATAATAATAACATAGTATGAATAAAGTAAATGTTAAAAATGAGGGCAAATACTAAAAAAATAATATAAGGGAGATACGCCTCCCACAATGTACGTACTAGAGGCCTGCATTGGGTCCCAAAGCCCGGCCCGGCCCAGGCCCGATATGCGGGCCTACAAAAAATTTTTATAATCACGGGCCGGGCCAGGCCGAAATTTTAAAAAAAAACTTATATTAAAAATTTGCGGGCAGGGCCGAAACGGGCCGGGCTTGACAAAAAATTTTTAACTGCGAGCGGGCCCATGCCGGCAAAAAATTTGTAACTCTAATTGCGGGCCGGGCCTTAAAATTAGGAATTTGCAGGCCTCTAGTACGTATAGTACGTGTAACAAAAAAATAAAGTAATGTGGATTCATATGCAGAAAATCGTGCACAGAAATCCAACCAATCAAAATATCCAGCCAATCACATCGCGATTTGAAAAGTGTATTGTATATAGAAGAAATTCAGCAATCAAAATATCTAGCTAGTCAAATCGCAATTCAAAAACCATGTATTGTATTTAGAAGATGCGACTCTAATTAATGTTACTAGTTTGATGATCACCCTGATGTGATGTGTAATGGGAATGACACAATAATTCGAAAAGCACGATAATATTATATTGTATATGTCACAGTGGTTCTCAGTTATGGGGTCTTTTGGGCTTGATTCGCTTAGTCAGAGCACTCACTTGGCACTGGCGTATCGTACCAGGCACTACCACCTATACTACTATGTATTTACTAGAACGTGTATTCACTAAGCAAAACAAATGTTTTCACTAAGAAGCTTGTTCAATAAGCAAACTAACGTTTCTCGATTCCAAAGGAATCGATTCTCTCTTTTATTAGAGATTATCAATCCGGGTACTTAATAGTTACGATCGGGTAACCCGTGATCGCACTCGGATAATGTGTACCAGGTTGTGACGTAAATCACTAATCAAATTTCAAAAATTCAGTGTAACGTTACACGATCAGGAAGATTCAAAACAATCGTTCGTTCTGTTAAAAATCGCCCATAGCTCTAGCAAAAAGTTTTCGTTGGGGGTCAATGCAAAAAAATTATGGCAATGTTATTGATTATATTTGATTGACTTCGATTTTAAACAATCAAAATTCAAAAATCGAAAATTTTTACCGTTTAGTAAAAACTTATTAACATTGGTGCATGAGAAGGTATTTTGATAACTTTTAACAGCATATTCTGGTTCATGTTCGCGATAATTTCCCGAAAATTCTATCGAGACACCAGCAATACTATCTCTATAAATTATTAATATAAGTAAAAAAAAAAAATGATTCAAGTGATTCATGACTAGAATAGGAAGTTCATTGAAATTAAATAAGGAAATCTAACTTTTCGACTAGATTCAAATCGATATCTGTTATGATTAAGAATATGTAAATTTTTGATTTAAATTATAAATATATATTTATCTAAAAAAATTTTCATTATTTTTAATTGTCTTTTAATGAAAAGAATTATATAGTTTGGCAACATATGTAATTTAAGTATATGCAGATCATGATATCATTGGTAGATTTTTGATTCTCGAACAATTTTAAAGATTTCGAATAAATATGTTATTGATTGAAAATATGATCGATGGGCAATTTAAAATCTTAGAAATATTTTTTGCTATCATCATCTTAAAATCACCGCATCACAAATTTTACAAACAGCCATAATAAAATTTTTGGGAATTTACAAATAAGGGCCCGGAAGGTGAAAATAATTACAAACACGGGCCCAAATTAAAAATGACTACATATAAGGGCCTAAATAACTGCGACGCTTTTCACGCCTGTGGCTTGATCATTATTAGTATAAGAAACGTAAGTACCGCATAAAAAGTGTAACAATCGATTGTAAATTAGTTATTATAAATGTGAAAAGAAAATTTTTTAAATTTAATAAATTAATTTTCTTCGTATAAAATTGCTTATTGTTATAACTAATATGGAAGATGTTCGTTAAGCTTTAGAGAGCTACTCTGTTGAAACTTCGCCTTATGATGTGCTAGTTTAATGCTATTTTTATGCAATATTTAAGCAAAAATGATTATAAATAGCACTTCATTTATCCTTTTATCTAATAATCAGTATACAGATAACTCTAAATGTCTATAATAAACCAATCAATAATCCTACAGTATAATCGCGATTTGTTATCGTTATTAGCAGTGTTGGCAACTTTTGCGGCCAAACAATTTTTTTGGGCCGGCCAACTGGCCAACCAGCCAATGGCCAATGACCAAACTTTGGCTAAAAATTTCTAATTTTGTAATATTAGCCAATCATATTACTAGTTTTTATTATGTAAACTTTTGGCAATTTCGGCCAAACAATTTTTTTCGAAAATTTGGCCGTTGGCCGGCCAAATATCTATGTGACAACACTGGTTGTAAGTCTGTGGCCCGTTTTTTTTTAGCCATCAATAGATCTGGGCCCTTATATGTAATTTTTTAAAAAATTAGACCCTTATATGCAATTTGGGCCCGTATTTTAATTATTTTCACTTTCCTGGCCCTTATTTGTAAATTCCCCTAAAAAAATTCAACCCAAACGTTTGCATGTGTTTTGCCACATTTCCTTTTTGGCTGAAAAGGATAAGATCATCGTAAAATATTTTATTTTCGAGTTGACGTGCATACGGACGTATGCGCAGTCAACAGATCGAAAGACGGCTAAGCAGGTGGCAAGCTCCGGGGCCGGGCCATCACGAGTCCGA